AGGGAGCCTGAGAGAGAGAAAGAAGTGAACGAAGGAGCCAGAGGAGCAGGACGGTAGGAGGAGAAATAATATCAGATTGTATACCTCAAAGGTTGTAGTTCTGCAACGTTAGTAGGAATTTCAAGTTTAATCGATACTACTAGCAAATGTCCCCAACCCGTGCCTGACTGGGGATTGAGTGAGCAACCAGTTAATATTAAATGTTATGCTCGAATACAATTAGTTATATCGATGATATCAATAGCAAGGGCAAAGCTCCCGGTCGATATCGATGGGTTCAAAGGTGGACCATTATTACGATACGAATAAGGGTATCCTTGATATAGAATAATTACTTCCAATTCTGAATACAAAGATATCACTATCATCCTATCCGCATATTCATTCATATTCATAATAGCCTTTTTCTTCATTATTCCTAATAAAATTGAGTTTTTGAGCTAACATTGCTCGTATACATTTAAAATAGTGGATTCACTTTTCCTCTTGCGTCTGGTTAGCGGAGACAGCCGTGTCAAGTCAATGAAAAAGAATGGACAAGCGGCGAATTGAACGCCGGACCTTTCGCAGCGGTCTGAAGGCTCGCAATGGCTTCTACAGAGTGCTAAGCGAATGTTATACCACTAAACCACATGCCCGTTACGATCACTTCATAAAAAATGGGATAATGACGGCTGATAAATCCCCTTTTATCTTCGCACGCAGCTGGCCTGACATCGCGGGTTGGGGTGGCGGTAACCCTAACCCCAACACGATCCCACTCGCGGGCCAATCAACCTGAACTGCCAAAAATAGTTCGACACGCTCTCCTTCCTCTAGCTCGATCCCTTCTAAGTTCTCCCTCGACGAACTCGATTTCACATTCCGCTAGCGATTTTCATTTTTCGCCTTGCAATTTCCACCTCTCACTCCCTTCCATCGCTACACCAACTGTGAACACTGGGTACTTTCAGTCCTGAATAACGTTGAACGTAGCGTAGCTAACACAAGCGTAGGAGAGAACGAATAGTTATGGAAGTACCTCATATCGAAGCATTCAACAACGAAGACGATAACAGTGATTGGGAGAAAGGATCAGATGACTGGAAAGCGAGGCGAGCACGACGAGCACAACAACAACAACAACAACAACAACAACAAGATGATGAAGAACACGATCAACTAGAACAACTAGAACAAGCTGGCGAGGACGATCAAGAAGGAGAAGAGGAGGATGAACTTCCTCCATCTCCCCCAGACCAAATCTTCGTCCTTAACGGGGAACCGATCCTTATACACTTGCATAAAGAGTTGGGGAAGGGCGCGAGGGAGGCGATGGCTAAGAAGATCAAGGTATGTTTTCGCTTCGCAGGTAATTTGTTATTGCTTTGCTTATGCCGTAGTTCTGAACAAAACAGAACGCAGGCGGCGACCCCACCGCCGACCCCGCCTCCGCACGCGTCACAATCTGCCGCGACAATAGCGTCGCGATGAAAGCCCTCATCAAGAAATACGACCATGAGCGGTATAAATGGGTTGAATCCCCAGGGTGGGTCGACGGCTGTATTATGGATAGGCGATATGGGCATATTATTCTTCCCTCGAGGGCGAGGTTTGTGGGGATTAGGAGGACGTGAGTTATTTGCTTTGCGTTAATGTGGTCGATGTTGATACACATACAGGAGGCCTAATCGCGTAGAATACACGGAAGAAGATAGGAAACATATCGTCGAGTACCTTGCTAAACGGCTCCCCTTTAAAGAACGAGGGTGTCGTACGGGTCAAGTTGTATGGAAAGAGCTCGTTGATCCCCTTTATGTATGTCTCTCCTTTTTCTCTCCTCCCATCCTCCCATCTCCATATCTTCTTCCACGCTCCCGTCCCATCCAATACCTCTAACCCGCTTGCAGGCCGAGGATTACCCCTGGGCTGTCCGCCACACCTGGCAATCCTGGCGCGAACAATACAAAAAGAACGAAGGCTACTATGATAAGCTCATAGAGATTGAAGTGAAGGCGATGGAGGACCCGCCTGCCCCTGGGGGGAAGGGGCAGTATGTCCCAGATTTTAAGGCGAAGAATCGGAAGAGGAAATATGTGATCTTGACGGGTGAGGAGAATGAGGAGCTGGAAGAACAGGAAGAACAGGAAGACGGAGAGGGTGAGGGTGGAGGGGAGGAGGGTGAGGGTGCATGGGGAGGAGAAGATCAAGGTCTGGATGTGGGTGCGGGTGCTGCAGGTGATGTTGGTATGGGTATGGATGTAGATGTCGAGGAAGGCCCTGGTGCTGCCAGTGGGGAAGATGTCTTTGCTTTGCCTCCGTTTGCCAGACAAAGGGCGATCGCCGATGTGGAGATGGAGCAGCAGCATGCGCGGGCCGTCTCTCCTCTAAAGGTCACTGCACCTGCACATAAACAGAGTCAGGTCCAGAAAGCCGCACGCTCGAAGACAGTCGTTACACCTAACCCGCGGAACGTAAGCCAAAGTCAGAGACCACCACCTCTTAAACAGCGCAGGATCAATGATTCTCCGTACGTCAATTGATATTGTTCTTTTCTTCTTATTATCATTGACTAATTTATATAGCAGAATCCCTGTGGATAATAACGACGCCATGTACGAAGACGAGTTCGAATTCCCCGATCCATCCACGCTTGTGAGCATCACAACTTCGCCCAGTAAATCAACTCAAAACCCTCTGCCGCAGTCTCACTCACAACCTGAAGCCGGCCCTAGTCAACGACGAACTTCCCAATGGGCTCATTCACCCGATACCCAAGCTACGATTGTCGCTCCTGCTTCAACCGCACCACGAATCACACGTGCAAAAGCCGCTGTTGCATCCACATCCACCCAGCCTCCGCCCCAACGTCCAATGACGCGCCTGCGATCGCGTTCTGCCTCTGTCGAACCTGCTCCGTCTCGGTCCACTCCACCTATTATGACAGACCTGAAAGCCAAAGGTGCTAAAGCCAAAGCCAAAGCTCCTGCACCCGCTCCTGCACTCAATCGCACTCCGCCTACGAAACCTCTCGAGTCCATCCCCGAACGACGATCACTCATCCAAGCAGCGTCAGCAGTAACGACTCTCTCTGCGCGGGAGGAAAGTCTCGTGGAGCAGATATTAGTGCCTCAGTTCGTACCGGCTAGGAAGAATGCTCGCGAAGATGGCGACTCCAGCAGCGGAGAAAGCGAAGACGATAACGAGACGAAGAAATTGTTGAGGCAGAATGCGCAGATGATTCAACAGGAGTCGGGTACGCGAAGGGCAAGAGTGAATCCAAGGCCTGCGCCGGGGATTTTGGCGCCGTCTCTTGGGACGAATAGGGATGCGAGAGGTGGAGGTGAAGATAAGCGAGTGATACAGGCGGGGACGAAGACGAGGAGCGAGGCTACTCATGATCCGGACGTCACACCCAAGGCTCCTACACCACACACTCCCTCACAACACCCACATGCTTCACGGGCTACTCAGGCTCCTACGACAGCAATAAAGCTAAGTAGTGCCAGGAAACGGGCTCATACGATGATGCCGCCGAATCCGACCAGTGCGATCGCGTCGTCGTTGCCCGCGTCTAGTCTGTATGATTCCTCGATTGATGATGAGAAGTCTGAGTCCCAGGTTAGTGGGCATAGGGAGAGTTCGGGGGATAGTGTGCCTGTGCCGGAGACAATTGCGTATGAGTATAATGAGATTAAGGAGAAGTTTACGCCGGCGAAGGGGACGAGAGCAGAGGAATTGGTTAGTAGTACTAAGAAGAGGAGGAGTACCTTAAAGGGGAAGATGAGGGCGTGATGAATCAAATTATTGATGGATGAGATTGATGTTGCTATCTTTACTTACTTATGATCTAATTGTGTTATTGGTAATTTAATTTTTAGCCATTTTTACCTCTCTCATGTGTACAGTACGTACTAATTTTGTATTGCATTATGTTGAATGTATAGGGATTTTAATCGTTGAGTCGACTAATATCAAATATATAGCGAGATCGGATTTATACCCAAAAGAGAAAAAAAAGTCCCATAACTTGAAGTCCCAAGAAAGTGCATGTAGATTACATATAATACGTACAAAAGTCCAAGATGTGCAGGATCGGACATAAAATTCGTTAAGCAAGATATTTCAAGGCCACCCGTGTTCTGTGATAGAAGTTAGCCATAGAATTTTTCAGAATAAAGGATCAACCATACTAAGTGGAAGGATTTCCTTCTTTGAGTCCCAAAGTTGAGTAATAGCATCATCGACCGTCTATTGAAATATGAATAAATAAATAAATAATAAACGGATAATAAGAACTTACGATGGACGCAAAGATCATATTAGTATACACGTTTCTAGAAAAAAAAGGCATCATTTAATCTAGCAATCGAAGGAATAAAAGCCAAAGACTTACACTGTCGGCGGTAGCCAAGCAATCATCTGCAACTTAACGGTAACCGGCAACTTCTTTAATTTCTTCGCAACTCTCGACGTCGGAAACGCCGCATAAGCCAAACTCAAAGGTTGCAGTTCTGCAATGTTAGTAGGAATTTCAAGTTTAATCGATACTACTAGTAAATGTCCCCAACCCGAGCCTGAATGGGGATTGAGAGTGAGCAACCAATTAATCTTAAATGTTATGCTCGAATACAATTAGTTATATCGATGATATCAATAGCAGGGGCAAAGCTCCCGATCGATATCGATGGGTTCAAAGGTGGACCATT